CATTCATTCATTCATTCACTCACTCACTCACTCTCACTCACTCACTCACTCTCTCACTCACTCATTCAATCATTAAATGTATATGCCATGTCAATCAGACCTTAAAGAGTGTGCAATACATACAAGATATTCATATATACTGCAATATATAAAATACAATATTCAATATTATGCATGAACAGATCTTATTGCATGGATAGAAATATTTTTTAATAACCAGAGCAATCACAAGGGGCAGTGAGTATCCCTCTAAAAATAATCTTTAATAACTTCTTCCAAATTTGCCTGAGGATTTCACATCTACTCCAATCCTCTCCTCCAAGAGAGCAAAAATTGGATTTAATATACACAGCACAGGATGTCAACTTCCAACTGACTCTGTTTTGTTAGATTCTGGCATGTAACACAATTAGAATTGCTGTGCAAATCCTAGTTTAAAGGTAGGTCAGTCAGAAAAAGTGATGGGAAGGTGAATAAGAAAATAATACCTCTTTGAATATTTGAATTTTACATTTTCTTATCTGACCCTCCAAGAATAACCCCCTCTACTAGTTAAAACAAATTAAAAGGAAAGAAAAGGCTCTAAGTTTAATTGGCTGTGAAAAATAAGGAGCAGGGAAACTTACACAAAGTGTAACTTAATACCATGAGATCTCTATAATTTCTCATAGAATCTGCTCTTTGCTTTTTAACAATCTGATCTTTACCATACATGACATGGCCAATTACCAGAAAAGAAAAAAGATATCTCATTTGTTGTTCAGAAATTTCATTCTAGGTCTGTCAAACAATCATATTGGAGATGTTCAAATTGTGGATTTCTACTTAAAGATCTTCTCCAATTCTATACTTCTATGATTCCCTGAATCATAAGCCATAAGTGGAGAATGAGCACTAGCTGAAGAATGAGGTGATATGTGAAATAACAGGTGCTGCATTCTGACTAAGAAGTTCTAAAAGAAGTCCTAGTTTAAACTTTAAATTTTCACTCTATCCAATCTCATAGATTTAGATGTTATTCAGATGCAAGAGATACATTTTTGGGATCTAAATTTCTTAAAAGAAAGAAAAGAGAAACATGTAATGAAGAAACAAGAACTCACTAATACAGAATGGAACAAAATACTTTAATTTGGGGCGAGTTAAAGGATATTTGGAAATAGTGGATTCTGAAGTTACTCTTAAAATTGTCTGCTATTATACATTGATTGAAAAGCGGTTATACAAGAGGAACACATTTTACTGGATGAGACTGAGATTTAGGGCCAATTTGAGTTGATTCTTTACCATATTCTTATTGTTTCTTTCTTTTCTATTTCACTATTTCCCCCCCACATCTATCCCCTTTTTTCATTCTTTTTAAAGTTTGTAGTATTCTTTTATCTTTGTAACTGCAGGGTTTATTATAGAATGGTTCTGCACATTTTCCATGCATGGTCCTGCCAATAAAGAGCACGGAAATACAAAGGCTTATGATTTAAATCATGATGACATCGTGTACATACACCATGTTATCATCATAGCCTGCGCTACTTATGCCATTTCCATTTCCATCCACAAACTAGATAAATGACACAATTCACATAATTTGCATATGAAAACATGGCATATGTGACATCATTTGCCTCACTCCTTGACCCCTTGACCATTCCATGGAGGCCTATGGGGAAGCACTGCATGCCTTGTCACATGTAGGAAAAGAGGTGCAAGGCTCTAGTGAATACATGAACTACCAATCACTCTGAAATAGGATACAGACTTATATTTGAAGAGAGAGATTTTTGTGAAATAAACTGGTCACGAATCATATGAAAAAGTATGTATTTATTATGTTGGGCAAATCTATCTTTCAAACATCTTCTAAACTATTCTAATCCCAACAGTGCTAAAGAAATTCAAGTAAGGGAACCACCCTTTCTGGACAGTCTTCTAGATTAGTCAAAATAATA